CTAAGTTCACTTCTACTTGTGTCTTACATGTCCTTTACTCCTTTAGTAGGAAAAAAGATTTTTGTAGAGAGATAGGAGTGCATCCTTTTAATAGGATAAATAGACAATGTCAGGTCGGGGGCACTCCACTGATGCTGAATAAGATGAAAGCCTAAAAAGTAAAAATAACTATTTTTATCTAATTAACTAAAGAGTGCACCAGCTACTTACAGGATTTGGTGTGTGCGTGTTTAACCTACATATTGAGAAGATCTCTTCTACTTCAACAAAAGCTAGTGATAAGGAAAAAATAAATTATAGAACCACCTTATATTGCCAACATTTCAACAGATAGATAATGTTTCAATATGAAACTAACGCTGCCAAGGAAAATAGTTGAAGAAACTGATGGCCGTACCTTGAGATCAGAAGCCCCGGGCCAAACTAATGGATCATCCATAATTAATAATCCTTCAAAATCAACTAACCATAAAACAGAAATACCAGAGCCTACAGAAAAAGTATTATACATCAATAAGTTTAAGTTTAGCAAAAAACCAATCAGGATGAGTTTCTACAGTTAAACTATTACACATCAATAAGTTTAAGTTTAGCAAAAAACCAATCAGTGAGTTACACATCAATAAGTTTAAGTTTCTACAGTTAAACTATTACACTCGCTATGTTTGCGGTTGAGCCACCCACTCTGAAATAGACAAAATATTAATTCTATATTAAATCAAATGATAAATATTAATCAAAGTAAATTTGATCAAAGTCCTATTTTAAGAGATAATGTACCATCTCTATTTCCTCCAATTCGTTAGTATCAGCCTTGTCGGTCGCATACAATGTTAAAATGGATGGATCTCTGAACATAGACAGCACCCCCAAAAGAACATGTGCCTTTGTAAGAGTATCCTTCAGCCCCTTTTTAACCTGAACTTAGAACAAACTTTTTTTTGTCAATTACAACCTCTTTATCTTCAGGGAAATGGTTAGGGTCGCCCGTTTTCTGAAAAAGTAGGAAATTATTTAAGTATGAATCTAAGTAAAATAATCATTAAAATATCTCTCTCAAAATATATGTGACTCAACTGGCATGTTTTGTATTTTTTTCTAATATTATTTGACCTAAGCATTTTATCAAACATCACATATGCAGAAATGTAGAATTAGAGAGTAGTTATACTATAGAAAATGAGTTTAGCTCCATATAATAACATCTTATATAGCTTGTGAATTCATTCAAAATAAATATTAATCCATTTTCTATTCTTAATTAACCATAGATGGAAACTCAACCAAATACTGTTGATCCAAGAATGTATGGATTTTAACTCAACATTTTGACTAATAAAATAGGTTACCAAGAGTACTCATTCCAGATTGCCTAACTAATTGAATCCATCCAAACAAAATCTATTTGAAATAAATTTACAGATTATTATTTTGAGTAAAAATCAAAATTGTATTTTTTGAGTAAAAATCAAAATCGAATCCAACCAACCCAAAGAACTACTCCACTACTCTAAGCCTGCTTTAATTTTGTCATCAAGAGTTATAACCAATTTTTTCTGTGAAGCTGCAATTGGGGTCTTTACATCACTGGTAGATAATTTAATCTGGTGTAAAAGTATTAGGTTTAACCCCATTAATGAACCAAAGAATAAATAATACAACATCATACTATGACTGCCTATATTACCTTTTCTGCCTCAGTTCCATCAAGCTATTTGCTTGGTATAGACAAATCAACATTTTTAACAAAATCACTCTGAATAAGGCAAAAAAGATAAATCATACAGAGTATATTAAATCAAATTAATTCAAATAAGAATAAAAGTTAACTTGACCAAAGTAATATTTAATAGAAAAAATGTATCTTTTCTGTTTCCCTCCTCATCGTAAATAGGGTTCTCTTCTCTTGGGCGTCTTCATCTCATTATATAAAAGCATTACAACCTTCCCTGTGACAACATTTCTGTTTTTGCTGAGTTTAGCACTGGTTTCTTTGACAACGTAGCAATCAACAATCTAACAATTAAAATTTCAATCCTAAATTTGGGATACCTGATGCTGGGTGAGCCTGGATATGATTGGAACATATTTTTAGTCTTGCTGATTCACTTGCTCAACTTTTCTGAGTGTTGCCTGGTGTTGTTGAAGCTTCTTGATGGTCATGGAACCAAAAGGGCCGCTTCTTACCATTTGAATAACCCCTTGCTGCAGTTCAAGTCTGGCTGGCGTAGCCGAAACTGTATTTCCACCAACGCTGGAGCACAATCGCCCTTGAGCGCGCAAGCTTGCCATATCTGGATCTTGTCGTCAGTGTGCCACATCACCAGTCCCCGGCGCCGAATGATGAAAGGAGATGTTGGTGATGATCTACCCATGAAAATGAAAAAACCCCAGCCCGGCTTTAATGATGCCCTCCACCAGAAGTCTACTTGAAATCAATCGGCGGCCAAATATTTGTCGAGAAAACTTGGATACAGATTTAAAATCAGCTATAATGGAAATCCAAAAAGAGATAGGGCAACTAACAGTCAAACACATCTCTCGTCAACATATATCTATGCGTAATGCAGAGTGCTCCCTATATGGCTATATTAGTTCACTTGTTTGACCATCGGTTAAAAGCTTCAACATACAACAATGCTTTAGTATACTGCCCAATGCATATAGCGGAACAGACGAATGAGCTGGCAGCTACCACGTCCGACCCACTTTTTGACCCGTATCTTTAGGTGGGAAAATAGGCTGATTTTCCACTTCCTTTTGTATATAGTAAGATAATAATGATAATAAATGTTATTATGATTAAAACGAAACAAAAATAAAATTTTCATCCACTCAAGAATATTCAAGAATAACGATACAATACAATTAAACATTTTTTTAATAAAAAAAATAATTACATAATTGACATTTTATTTAAAAAATCAGCCCAAAACAATCCAAAATTCGGCCCAACCGAACCCAACTACACCAATGCCCAACTCAACCCTCCGACACCTCACCTATAATCATCTGTTCCAGAAGAGTATCGATTAAATGGATGCTCTGAGAAACCCTTCGTACTTGCTTCATACGTCCCTACAAAGTTGTCTCTTCTCCTCCATCCCGTCTTCCATACATAGCTTCACCCTTCCTGTTTTGATTCCATTGTTCTACGTCCCACCGCCCCCTCCAAACATTGTCCGCCAGTTCAATAGTCCGAGCGATGCGCCTTCTCTCGATCGTTTGTGTACGGACTCATACAACGGCGGCCAACCGATAATCCCAAAGCAGACACAAATCTGGTTGGTTAAGTAATATTCCTAGAGTGACACAAACGCACTGCAATTTCTGAAATGGAATAGTTTTCAAATATAAAACCACCATTCACGTTTTGTCAAAAAATAATACAACCTCATTTTCCATCTTAGCAAACACCCTTCCATGGATGTTCAATAGACTCCTTCCTGAAATAGGACCACAAAATAGTGAGATGAAATGGCTCGTACCATGTATATATTATTTTAAAAACAGCCTTACTTTGGTTCTTCAAGCCAGTCATGATAGTTGTTATGGTGACATGATTACTATGAACATCGTCACTTCTTCACTCTGTGTGTTAATTGTAATCGTAGTTGACATTGTGTTATCATTTCCTAGGAAATATCTGGTTTACAAATAGTATAAATTAGTTCAAACATGTAATATTAACGATAGTAATAAGAAAGAGTATTGTTCAAATCTTAAAACTATTTGGACATTGATACCTACTCATCCTTGAAGACATTTCTAACCTCTTCTCCCTTAAAGCCCTTAAAGGTGGCTGGCAAGTCATTGCCTATCATTTCTATTTGCATTGGCTGTCATTGTTGGAAATAAAAAAAAAAAGATGACACCCCATCCCTGAGGGCCCCCCAACCCCGGTCGGACGATACGTTGGGAGGATGTAAATTGGACTATAATCCCAATCTGACAGATAGAGAGTGGGGCTCTGTCGCCGGTACTTGCAGAGGCCCTATGCATTTTTAGCATAGTAACCTCTCATCGCAGTTGCCGGGATTCGAACCCGGTACCTAACCCTTGTGGCACTCCCTTGCTACCAGTTGAGCTACGCCCACCGATGAACGTTCCTAAATTGGCTATCATTGTTGGATTTTGCTGTGTGGTTGCTCTCCGAAGGCACCCATATTTATAGTGGATTTGCATTGGGATTATTCATTTCTTGATTGTTATATCCCTTAAACAATAGCATGTACCGGAGTATCAATTTTCACCAAACTCGTGAACATTAAATGCAGCATCTATGGTCAATTACTACGTTTTTTTGTACTATTTGTACTATGAACATTGGAATTGATGAATAAAAGATTTTGCCCTATTATATATCCAAGAATATAGATCCCCAAATGTAATCAACCAATAAAGTTGAACTCAATAAAGTTGAAATGACACTTGGCTGCAATAAATCAAACTCACAATTAAATGAAGGTAGATTCTATGGTACCCTATGGGTACCGAAGTTGTCACCTTAAATGAATTGGACAGCAGCTCGACCTGGAAAATGGACCATGAAAATGGGCGGGAATCTTGCTTGGGTTTCCACTCTCTTTTGTATATAGAGAGATGATTGAGGCGGGCGCCCAGTCCCAAGTCGGATGAACCCTAGTTCATACTGCCTTCATATTTTCTTATTTATTTCAATGGTACCGAGAGCCTTTTTGCACCTAGTTGTTAGTCAATTTTTTATTAATCTTATACTCCCTCCGTCCCAAATTGTTTTGCAAAACCAACATTTTTTTGTCGACCAATAAAAAAAGTTAATGCTCATTATCGATAATTAATTCAATTTTTAATAATTAAAATTTATATATTCAGAAACTACATTAAAATCTCTTCAAAGTTGTAAACTCCAAATTAGAATATAATTAAAAGGGAAAATGTAAGATTACCTACAAATGACTTGCAAATCCCAGTTACACGTGGTTCGGGTATTACTTTTGCCAACGTGTAAGCATGTCATGTGACCTTTATTCGAAGTAGTAGTTTAGAGGTGCCCATATTACATTTCTGAAGAAAAACAAAATCATGGGTGTCAATGTGTCATATATTCTCTGCTAGCGAGCTGTTAGGGTTTATGAAATGAAAATTTACGCTCTCAGATGAACGACGATTACATGGCCGGAGATAATGTTGGAGGGATGTGATCCGTCTTCTTGAATACATTTAGTCGCATCTCATCTATTGGCTTTCAGGTTAGTGGGTTGCAAACCCAAATTCAATTTTCACTTTGTTTAGAACGTCGTTTATATATGACTTTAGAAGCTTCAAACAGTATGTTAATAGAAGTGGATCCAAATTTTGAAATTAGTGGACCACAGTAAACTTACGTAGAAGCTTCAAACAACAAGATTGATTGGAAGTGGATCCCAAATTTAAAAGAAATGGAAATTAATTGGTAAATAAAATCTAAAATTACATTGTTATGGAGAATATTTTAAAAATTCAGCAACCAATTCCATGAAAGCTTTAAGTCAATGGAAATAAAAGTAGTGACATAAGTGTTAAAGGTTAGTTTAGTGCTTTATACAGTAGTTTTGGGGAAATTCCTAGAGTATTAAACTATATACTTGTTGTTATATTTTCAGAATGTTTTTGGAGGCTGATTTACGAATACACCATGGCGGGAACTTCATTCAACATCCTGAATTGTCATATGTTAATGGTGAGGTAGAAACGGTAATTGTTGACCGAGATAAAATTTCCTACCCTCACTTGCTAAAATACATCACAACTGATGCATACAAAAAAGTGGAGTCTTTATTGTTTAAACTACCTTAAGAGAGTATGTTAATGTTAAGAACCTTATGGAATGATGAATCTACTCTTCGCCTAATTGACATGGCTTTTAATTGGGGTGTAGTTGATATATTTGTGAAGCATGGAATTGATGAACCTGAAGTGAGTGGCAATGGTCTGGTCAACAATGAGGCTGTGAACATGAATGCAACAGGTGAACAAGAAGATATTGAAGTGAATAAGAATGGGGAAGTGAACAACAATGAGGCTATGAACAATAACGGGCCAGATCATGAAGGAGAGGGACTTTGATCACTGATCAACAGAAGGTACCATATATACTAAAACTGAAATTACACAAAAGTGATCCTAAATGCATGCTAGAGTAGTAGTAAATTTGAGTTTAATTGAATGTGCTTTTGTCCATTATTTCCACCAATGGTTTGTTAACATGATTGTGCAGGGCCTAGTAAACGTCATCTAGGAGTTGTTCCCGAATTCTGAGCACAGAAACTGCTGCAGGCATATCCATGCGAATTGGAGTAAGAAGCATCGGGGAAAGATCATGAAGAAGCACTTCTGGATATGTGCTAGATGCACCACAGAACCTGACTTTCTTGAACAAATGAATGTTCCGGAAAAAATTGATTGCACGGCCCGGGCAGATTTGGATCTTTATGATCCTCGTCGATCAGTGGTGCAAAGCTTTCTTCAGATTTTATCCAAAGTGTGATGCTCTTGACAACAACTTGTCTGAATCTTTTAATAACACACTTGTAAAATGTAGGAGTAAGCCTATTATCCCTATGCTAGAGTCCATTAGGGTTGCCACAATGAAACGAATAGCAAAAAAGGTAAAATTTGGGAATAGGTGGCAAGGTAACATTGGACCTCGGATTATGAAGAAGCTGAATACAAACATTTATGAAAGCATGGGATGGAAGGTATTTGGTATATTACAATCCATCTTTCCATTAATCAATATATACTAATATACTTTTAAATGCAGGTTGTATTTAATGGTCATGACGACTACGAGGTCAAACGTGGAAGGCATCAGTACCAAGTACGGCTAGAAGGAAGGACCTGTTCATGTAGGGTGTGGGAGCTAAATGGGATTCCATGCTCACATGCTGTGTGCGCAATACTTGACAACGGTGGGGATCCAGAAACTTATGTTGATGAATGCTATTCAAAAGAAGTGTACCAAAGAATTTATTCTCATCACCTTCAACGCATGAACGGGGAGTTAATGTGGAAAAAGACGCAACAGAATGATATTCAAGCTCCGATTCCCAAAAAGATGACAGGATGGCCTAAGAAAAAGAGAAAGCGTGAAGCTACTGAAGGGCCATCATCTGCTACAACTATGACAAGAAAAGGGAGAGTGATGACGTGTTTTATCTGTAAGGTAGCAGGATATAACAAATCTAAATGCCCAACAAGCCCCATGGAAAGACAAACTCAAACCAGAGAGAGAAAAAGGGCCCTAGTAAAAAACCAAGCCTAAAAAAAACAAGTATGCCAAGTCAAGAAGCTGGTCACCCAGGACAAGAAGGTGGTCTCCCATGTCAAGAAGGTTGTGTGGGAAGTCAACAACCTGTGTAGCTCCAAACCTAATCATAGGGTAGTTTTTAGTATTTTTGTATGGGGTGTAATCCTGTTTTGTAAATGTATTAATTATGGGTTAACAGTCCCATAACCTGTGTGGCTGAACGTGGCATTTAGTTTATTCATTTGCAGACTTGTTAGTTTTTTGCAGAAGTTCTTTAATAAACTTAGCAGTTGCACATTTGCCGATTTATTTGTTTATTAGTTCACTCATTTTTTGATTTGCTTATTTAGTTTACTCATATATCCCTTCCTGCAAATTTTAACAGAAAGAACACAAAGATAAAAACAAAGATCTAAAATGCATAACTAGATTCTATAGTGTTGTAAATAATGAAAAGAAAATAATTAGGTCAGCTAGATTCTTCAGTTCATGTTCCGAAGAAGAAGAAAAGCGTAGATGAAAGATGAACCCTATTTCTAACATCAGGTCAGCTTCTACGATAGAATCATCCACAAATCTGATTAAAAACAATTAAACAGGGATGAAGTGGAAAGTGTTTCTAGTATTGGGTGAGAATACTTCCATGTAAGCATATAACCGGTAGTATCAGGTCATTTATAGGTCATCCCAACCCATATGATTGTTTGTTAAAAGTAAGTGTATATATGTGATGTTTTTTAGGGTACAAGGGCTTAAGTGATGTTTCAAAAATAGTAGGAGGGCTTGTATGACCCTTTTCTCTAATTAAAAATAGACATCCTAATTAAGAAAATAAAATGAAACTGTTTAACCAAGAAAAGTTAAATTTGCAAATCAATTTGGGACAGAGGTAGTAGCTTTTAATTTGACGCTCCGGAATGTATAATAATTCAAATAAATGAAATTGAAGAAGATTTATTCAATGAAATACAATTTAGATATGATTCTTTTCTTAATTCAGTAGATTCAATCCATTTAAGTGCTTCAACATAATTTAAATAGGAGTTTTAGTGAATTTAAATTGGCCTTTTAATAGGAATGAACAAGGTTTAAGAGTGGTAGGTGTAGGCATGGACTCGGTCCAGGTCGGGCCCGGTCCCGGACGGGCTTCGAGACTTTAAAATACAGGCCCGGTACCGGCTCGGTTTGTACCTGGTTGGGCCTCGGTCTGGACCCAAGTCGGATCGGGCCAATGAGAAGAAATGTTTTTTTTTTAATTTGTAACCGTTGGGCCCGAGTCGATCCACCAAAATGCAAACCCGAGTTCCGTCCTGTAAATCCGTTGGTCAGCGTACCAGGTCGGTACCGGGCCCGAGTCAACCCGTCTCACTCCATCCCTAGGTAGGTGAATTGGAAGTAGGGGTGAGCATGGGATGATACATAAGTTGTATTAAAGAATTTGTCCCATCTCAAATTCCGATTTTTTTAAAAAATTAAGGTTGTGGTACCGTTCCAAATATATGTCACACATGTCCCATTCTGTACCAACATTTGGTACGATTCGCGACGGTTCTTGATACCATTCTATTCTTAAATGATATATATATAACAAAACAATATATAAATTATCAATTAAATCAATCTTGAGACGCTCAATTTAAAATGTTCTATTTTTCTAAAGTGAAATATTAATTGAACAAAAGTAAGAATATTTATCATAATTAATCATTAACGGCCACAATATCATAATTGTCAATAATAGACAATTAATTGGATAATAGTTCATAATGTTGGACTACTTGAATGTGGGCAAAACCAATATTATTATAGTAACTAATGACTAGCTATAAATGGTACATTCTACGATATAATACACTCTCTCCGTCCCGCTAATATTGTTCTATTTTACCTTTTCGATCTGTCCCACTAAGATTATCTCATACCAAATTTAGTAATGTTTGTATAGCTTTAAGTCATTCTTACTTTATTATTACTTTATCAATTCAATATGAATCACATAAACTGTTTTCTATTTGTTTGCATGACACTCCCTCTTGTCTTATTGTTAGTGGGACGGAGAGAGTACTATACATTACAAAAACTAACCAATTCTTTGTGATAATTCGGAATAGTTTAGTTTGATACAATTATATTTGTTTGCATGTCACTCCCTAGTGAAGAATCGATACCAAACCATATTATACAAGATAATTGGCTCATGTCGTATTATACTTTTCTGATTCTTTCGGTTCTTGTATAGATGAGGTTACAACTCTCAATACGGAACAAGAAATCTCAAATCCGTGCTAAACCCTAATTGAAAGTTAAGGATTTAAGTTAGGACGTAAATTGGCGGGTAAAAGTCCAAAGCCCCACATTTGGAGATTGGAAATTTGGAACTGGCCAATTTGGTCTCATTAAATTCTTTTTGCAATAAGACCATCTGGGAAGCATTTTAATGGGGTCCATTTAATAGCTGAAAATGTGCATAGAGGAAGGAGGGCTAAAGATATATTAAAAAACAAAAATAAAAACCATGACCAGAAGTGGAACCACCCTAGAAGCGGAATATAGGTCTCAATTCTGGTCCTGAGCCTCGCTAATTTTTTCAGACGTGGACTGTACCCACGTCTAGCTCTACATTTGTAAAGTACATCTCTCCGTTAAAAATTGAAACCATTGTTACTAAAGGTGGAATCTCCCACCCCAGCCACCACCTCTTTCTCCTTTCCTCCCTTTCTTGGTTCTTCTTCCATGCCGCATCAGCGGTTTTACACCCTCTGATCTGCAACCTTTCACGGCTCAGGGTTTAATTTGTCGGATAATACAAAATTATACTCAGTTGATTTAACTAGCTATATTAATATAGGATGGTGATGTGGCACAATAATATAATTTGATTGGCTTAAAAAACTTGGGTCCCGGTGCCTCTTAAATTAAGAAAGGTATGATAGAAATTTCCATTATTTATTCCTATTATTTCTCCCCTCTTCACAACCCTCAACCGCACAACTTTTATTTTATTGTTTCACGTGCAAGTCAAATTAAACCAACACTCCCAACACGTCCAAGTCAAATTAAACTTAACTACAATTAAATAATAATGCAATGTAAAAATTCGAACTATTTGTTTTAAAATGTAGCAACCTTATTTAACAAGTTTAACAATTAACTAGTTTTATAGGAGAATAAGAAATGTAACAATTAACTAGTTTTATAGGAGAATAATAAATGTGACAATTAACTAGTATTATAGGAGATTAAGAAATGTAACAATTAACTAGTTTAACAATTAAACAATTAATTTCGAATTATTGTCTAACAATTTTTAATGTAACTATTTCCAATAAACTAACAACTAACAATTAACTATTTTTATAGCAATAAACTAATACTAAAATGATAAGTTAAACAATTAACTAGTTTTATATTAATAAAGAATGTATGAGTGTGTAAACTAAATTAATGGGAGTGTGAGTGTATAAGCAATTGGATAAGTAGATAATAAGTGTATGAGTAGATATACTTAATATATATATTTATAAGTAGATAATAAGTACATTAACTAGTAATATATAAATATATAATATTATGTTTATCGTATATATACTTGATGGAGTATATTCCCGTATACCCCAGGGGTATCATAGTCGCCGATGAGAAAGCATCACGGGGCCACACCGGAGTGCGTAAAAAGACCAAGTCCACAATCGGACCGACCCCGACCGACCAAGGTCAGGAATGAGCGTCAGGTAGCAAAAGGACCAAGGGCCAAAGGGTCACCCGACCCCGACCTCGAGGTCGGGAAAACACCAGGCTCAGGAATGGGCCAAACTCGGCAAGTTATGAGCCTGACCTCGAATGCCCGAGCTCGGCACCAAGCCCGACCTCGGAGGTCAAGCATATGGGCAACCAAAGTCAGAGTATCAAGCGGCTATCCACCTCAAAGGCAGAACAATAGACATGAGGCAAGTCCACTCACGATGAGCCCGAGCCTCCAATCACTGACCCCGGTAGAACTCAAGGTCAGTCCAAAGTATTGTGTACTTAGACAAATCCGCAAGGACCAGCACCGCAAGGAAGTAGTGCCACATCATCACCAGCAGCGGATAAACATGTCAGAATGCACACGCTTAACTACACGAGTATTCTGGTAGCAGTTTGTTAAAGATGATTCCAATCAACCAGTTGTCCAAGATTATCTCTCCAATCACCTTTACACGTGGCTGCTCCCCATCGAATTAGACTGATAGTTTGTTAGAATAGCTTTACACGTGTCCCCTTCCCATTTGATCAGTATCTTTTTACTTAGGCATAGGGATGGACTCGGTTCGGGCCGGGCCCGGTTCGGGCCTTGAACCGGCCGGGCCTCGGTTCAAGGTATGGGAGGCCCGGAACCGGCCCAGGTAACCCCCGAGTCCGGGCCGGGCCGGGCCGGGCCTCGGTTATATATATTTTTTAGGGCTATTCCTAGTTAACCCCCAACCCTCCCCCTCACCCCCAAACCAACCCTAACCACCTCAAATGGCCCAAAATACCCAAGCCCAACCCAAAAACTTTAAAAAAATTCAAAAAAAAAATGGCCCGACCCCGGCCCGAACCGGCCGGGCCAGTTCACCTTTTGAAGGGCTCGAGCCCGAACCGAGATCCCACCGGGCCGGGTGGCCCGAACCAGCCAACCAACCGGTTCACCGGGCCGGTCCGGGCCCGCACAGTAGCGGGCCGGTCCGGGCCTGCACAGTAGCGAACCGATCCGGTTCCGGGCCGGTTGGCCCGACCCGAGTCCACCCCTACGTGGTATAAATATCACCTTCCAGCTTGTGGAAAGGGATCGCATTCTCTATTCTCTTATTGTTATACTGCCGAATTATTTGCCTGTATTTTCCGATCAGTTCACTCTCTTATTCTGTTTGGATTCCGACTACCTCGGTACGGTGATCCATTGATAATATAAGTATATTACTATAAGATGAGTAATACATTTGTATATAATACCTTTGGCCGACGAGGGCACTGCGTAGTGGCTTGAGCTTTCTGTTCTTCTGAGTATGTGGGTCCTGGGATCTAGACTCATATACTCCATCACTATCTATGGTCGACGAGGGCATGGCCGATGAGGGCATGGCCGACGAGGTCACCCGGTTCTCCTGACTTCTGGATCATATTCCGGGTGGCCTTCTTTCTGGCCGATGAGGGCACCCGGTTCTCCAGGCTTCTGGATCATATTCTAAGTAGACCTTTTCCTGGCCGATGAGGGCATGGCCGATGAGGGCACGACCGATGAGGTCGCCCGGTTCTCCTGACTTCTGGATCATATTCCGGGTGGCCTTCTTTCTGGCCGATGAGGGCATGGCCGATGAGAGCATGGCCGATGAGGGCACCCGGTTCTCCAGGCTTCTGGATCATATTCTGAGTAGACCTTTTCATGGCCGATGAGGGCACCCGGTTCTCCAGGCTTCTGGATCATATTCTGAGTAGACCTTTTCCTGGCCGATGAGGGCACGGCCGATGAAGACACCCTGGTTCCCTGGCTTCAGGATCATATTCTGAGTCAGTCTCTCTTCGACTGACGAGGGTCCTTTGGCCGACGAGGGCATCCGGTTCTCCAGGCTTCTGGATCATATTCTGAGTAGACCTTTTCATGGCCGATGAGGGCACCCGGTTCTCCAGGCTTCTGGATCATATTCTGAGTAGACCTTTTCCTGACCGATGAGGGCACGGCCGATGAGTCAGTCTCTCTTCGACCGACGAGGGTCCTTTGGCCGACGAGGGCATTGCGCAGTGACTTGTGCTTTCTGTTCTTCTGAGTATGTGGGTCCTAGGGCTTAGACCCATATACTCCATCAAAGTATATATAATATGTAAATATAAGTAAATAACAATAATATACTCCCTCCGTTCTCTGATACTTGGCCTTCTTTTCATTTTGGGATGTTCTCTATTAATTATCTCCCTTTCCACTTTTGGTAAGTTTTTTCAATAAATATACTCATTTACCCTCATTCTCTTTCCTACTTTTTCATTCTCTTTCCTACTTTTACCTTTACACACAACTCACTACACCCTTTATCATACCCCTATTAATTCCTTCTTAAATCTTGTGCCAAAGGCTATACTCCCATCTATTAGAGAACGGAGGGAGTAATAATTAGATATTAATATAAGTAGATAATATAAATATGAGTAGATAATTAGATATTAATATAAGTAGATAATAAATTTTATAAATAAATATATGTAGTTATAAATTTGAGAAGATGAAGATGGAGAAGATTAGTAGAGAAAAGAGAGTAAGAATATTTGGAGAAGATGTGTAGTAAATTGTATAGAAAAAATGAAGTATTTATAGATTTTTTGTACCCCACCCCCACCACACGCCAACCCACCCCAGGATCCCCTGGCACCCTCCCAACGGCTATAGAGTCATTTGGTTTTGAATGCAACGGCTCGAAGGCCTTGTTTGGCTGGAAAAGATTTTTTTTAAAAAAAAAAACCGTTAGGCCCGGACCGGACCCGAACCGACCGGGCCGGTTCAAAGCCCGAACCGCCCAACACATACCCGGGCCGGTTGGGTCCATTCCTACCCAAGACCTGAGAGTTGGGTTTGGAGAAGAAGCCACATACTTGACATAATTTGTCTAACAATCCCAACTCTCAAATCGCAACTGAACCTATTCTAGCGTTTGTCTAACGAGTCCCAAATTCCCAATCATAACATATACATATACATATTTCAAACGACCACAGCAAATCTTCTGGGCTTCCGGCTTAACTCAAACGAGGAAGTCTCAGCCAAACGTACCCCACTTTTAAGACATACTATTGCTATTATTATTAAGACATACTATTGCTATTATTATTACTATTACTAGTATCACTCTTATCATATGCTCGTTGCTACAAAGTACAAACACCTTCCTGGAGCATCTCCAACTAGTACTGAGCTGCTGCAATATCAAATACCGAGTATAGCTTTTAAAGGTTAATAAATTCTTCCGCACTTTTTGAGTCCAAAATAGAAAAAAACATTGCAATGAGAAGTCACGTCAGCATCACCTCTTCAAGCAAATATGCAGCACAGAGGTAGGTCTAGTAGTGCAGGAAATATAATGTTACACCGGAACGCCTAACTCTGATATCTTAACAACTCTTTTGTCCAGTGCACTCTTTTGTTGATGGAGATGTGATGCCATGGAAGCAACCTGATTGATTGGTTTTTTTTCATTCACTTCCAAAAAATACTACGTACTGATTTACTAAATACAATCAAATAAAAATATTCTGCAAACATATTTTGGAGTTACCTCTGCTCTTAATTTTATAGGTTCTCTTCCTGGAATTTCCCGTAGCAGATCCATCAAATCTGCAGATTGGATTATTATATTATACTTAGTAGTATATATCATGCACTCTGTATCTTCCCCAACATTCATTTACTATTTTCTTACTCAATCACAATCATACATTTAATTTTTATTCCCACTTTTTTAATAAAATAGGTTTGCTTTCAAACTTATTAAAGAGTAGTCTTCTCACAACATATAAAAGTTCAAGTTAACAAAGAATGTAGGGGTGACAAATAGGAACAAAATTATATTCATGTTATGATTTAATGGATGGATTCAAAACATCATGCTAACCCATTTATAATCAATTAAAAACCCATTCAAAAGAACCTAAGCAATCCATCATCCATTTTTTTCATAAATGAATATCCATTCTATCCATTTATTATTAGTTTTCATGTGTATATAATGATCTTTTAGCAGACGTATAGTAATAAACATAAATCTAACCCAATTATAAAAATCAACATATAAATAACCAAATTATTATATATATAAAATTTAACTATGATAAATTTGATATTATAAAATATTGATGCAGTAGATTTACAAAATAGCGGATGGATCACTAATGACCCATATAATAACAAATGGATGGAGCTAACGCAATCCATTGTTACAACAGTATTTTTGAAATGCATGTACAGGATGAATTTAACTTTGGAAGGAGTGGATGGATGACAGGATGAATGGGTTCAGTTGCAAGTTTCATATCCCTACCATCATATCCGTTCTCTATTCCAGAAAATCAAAGGTTCAATACTCTACAATTCTAAATCATATGCATTGTCTTTTCCCCCAAAATTAATGATTTGGATACCTCCACATCTTAATATCTTTTTGGATGTGTTTGGAACCCGGAAAGCATCGGAAAATAATCAAACAAGGGAAACAAAGAGGAAAATGAAAGGAAAGAAAAATTCGGACGAAATCAAATCTATAAGCAAAAACTTAACAAATTTATTATTTTATATTTGTTGATACTCATTTTATTCATTTATACGTCTAAATATATGGTACAAAAGAAATAATAACTATTCATATTTCTTTTTCCTCCACAGTTTTTCAAGTTAAACTTGACATTAGAAACAGCTTTTCTTATCAAATCCCCCCTTCCCTAATCCCTAGCACTTTTTAGGGTACTAACAGATCCCTTTGTGAAAATAGTGAATTCACTCTCAGAAAAGCGCTTCTCAGAAGGTCTCAAACATACACAAAATTGAAAATGTAAAAAGTATTCATGCAGGAAAATAGACTTTTTTACAAACCACTAGCTTGAGCTTCAGCCTTATTGACAGCTTTTGTAAGCCTTTGAATACGAATTCCAGCATTCCTACAAGTTACATATTGAAGATCAATTGTAGATCTAGGATAAAAAAGCTAAAATACTAAATATAAGCCACTATGCTTAAAAAACATATATAATACTTGAGTTCCGACTGGCCATGTGTCATCTCCCTGTGAGCTAGAGCTACCCTTTCAAGCAATTTTTTGCTCTCCTTCTTCACTAAATCAACAGAAATGCTCAACTCTTTCACGTTACTCTCAGCCTTATTATATCGTGCCTGCATGAATGAAAAAGCTTGCAAATGTTCCGCATGATGCCAAAGTAAACAATAAGCACAGTAAACTGGCATTTGAAAAAATCAAATCAGCATCTAGGTATATGTTAACAAGAGATGACATACCTCCTCACTTTGCAAACGTCCTAAGGTATTGCGAAATAAAAACCTTCTAGGTCCTGCAGACAGTAGTATTAAATCAGTGAAAACGAGTATTGGCATAGAAACAAAGATGACATTCATGCCATTAGTTGAACGGATTATTAATAATTCCATCCATGAGTGCAGAGTGAAGGCCAACCATTGCGAAACAAATGCATAAGTTGATAATAAATTCTAGGACCAGACATTGAATGCATTTGTCAATTGTCATAAGGCATCGTCACGTAGAAAGTACAAGTCATCATCATCATCATCATTACCCCGGTGCCGCAAAGGCTGCCTACCACCTATGGTGGCATAAGGGGGGTCAGATGTACAAGTCAGCATGAAAATTTATTTAATTTGCTAATATCAGTGTACTTTAATACCAGCATACCACCTTATCAACTAGGCGACTGGTCCGAGGAAGGGTCCCACCACATGGGTGTACAAAGATAAAAAGAACAAAAAGAAGAGAAAGTGAAGAAAGAAAAGAAGAAAACAGAAGAACAAAAATGTGAAAAAAAAGAACAAAAAAAGAGAAAGGGGAGAAAGAATGAAAGGAGAGAGAGAGAAGAAAAGAGAAGAAAGAAGAGGCAAACTTGGCGAGCAGCGAAGAGCAGCGGGGGCGTTTCTCTTCACAGTTTTTTTCGAGTTTTTTTCCGTATTAATGTTAATTAATTACGAAAATAGGGTTGGGTTAAAAGTATTTACCAATATACTGCTGGGTTAACCATGGTCGGGGTAAGTCGCCCAACGGTTGGTCGACTTTCCTTTAAGTAAAAACGTCGGCCAGCCAACGAAACAGAAAGACGCAAACCCAATCCCCAAAGGCGGCTTGAGCATTTTGGAGGCCCCAGACGAAAAATATTTACTATGTACAAATTACTTTTAAAATCAGATAAATTGAATAAAAATCGCCTTATGAAAAAAAGCATATTCAAAGTCCACGATATAATGTTTGTAATATTCAAAAGGATAAATTTTAAAATGCAAACTTATTCAAAACACAAGGCAAATTTGTACTTGTAAAAGTATTAAGAGACTTCAAGAACGAGACTCAGAGAGAAGAGCTGAAGAGTCTTGGTTGATTCACTAACCAAGGACCCATGTCGACGACGGGCAGTGAGGCATATATACAGTAGCCGATTAGCGGTCTGTGTTGGACGTTGATGCGTGTTGAGATCGGCTTTTGATAGTTTTTCGTAACTTTAAGGTGTCATAAGTCTCAATTTTAAGCTCAAGTCATATTTACCGGCCGTTGGTTCGAGTTTTGGTATTTTTGGAGTCAAAATCAGGGAATTTGAGTCTGTCACCGGTGTTTGAGAAGCAATAGGGACGAGTTGAGAAGCATTTTAGAGTTGATTAGGAGCATTGGAGATCAGTGAGGTGTTAAAGACAAAGTTTTGAAGACAAAAGAGCTCTAGAATTGGCTACGGGATCAAAAGAAGACGAATAATAGAGCTTGAAAACAACGGTCAGGATGACGTTCTGTCAATCGTACAAGCATATCGTTTCTTAGGAACATCCAAAAAACATGATTCAAGTTTCATATGAAAGCCAACTTCAAGGGATACAAATCATATGAATACACCATTGTGAGAATCAGAGAGAAGCAAGGTGATGATAGGCACTGGTGATCAATACAGAACAAATAGAACACACACAATCAAAGTAGAATAGTATATGGAATTGTTTATTGAATTCAGAAGAAATCCACAGAGGTATACAATCTCAGGGACCATTCGAGATGCCCAATCTCCAACTACTAGCCAACCAAATTCTCAGCCACCTTACTCCCTTCTACTCCCTTCTATTTATAGTCACCCTTCACTTAAGGCATAACCGCCTAACTTACCCCTTATAAGAATCCCAACGGATTACTTATTCCTCCTTTTGTACACTTTATCAAAATATTTAATAGGCTGGGACACCTGCCTATCATTACTCCCCCCCCTGAAATTTCACCTTGTCCTCAAGGTGAAGACCTGGAAATTGATCTGCTAGAGCTTGTAATGGTTCCCAAGAGTCTTCAAACTGTGGTAGGCCCTTCCAGTGCACTAGGACCTCTATCTTGCCTTCTTTGTTCATCCTTGAGTCCAACACCTCCTCTGGACTGACTTGTAGTTCCCATTCTTCACTGAGGCAGTTAGGTAGAGGCTGAAAAACAGTTGTAGGGGAAATGGCCTTCTTTAGTAGGGAAATGTGAAACACTGGATGCACTTTACTATCTTCTGGGAGTTTAAGTTTGAAGGCTACAGAACTGAGTATCTCCATTATCTCAAATGGACCATAGTACCTAGGACTGAGTTTCTGATTGATTCTTTTGGCTAAACTCTTAAGTTTATATGGCTGAATCTTCAAATAAACTTGATCCCCCACATTTAGAATCACCTCCCTTCTATGCTTGTTAGCTTGTTGTCTCATCTGATTTTGGGCTTTTTCCAGATTTTCCTTCAACTTTTTAAGTATCATATTTCTTTGAGCAGTTAGCTTAGACACTTCCTCCACAGCAGTTAAAGTGACATCCCCTCTTACCACAGTAGGGGGTTCCTGCCCATATAGAGCCTTATAAGGTGTCATTTTCAGTGAATTGTGGTAATTTGTATTGTACCAGAACTCAGCCCATGCCAGCCATTTAACCCACTGCTTAGGCTTACTCCCTGTCAAGCACCTCAAATAAGTCTCCAAGCATCTGTTTACCACTTCAGTCTGGCCATCAGTCTGGGGTGATATGCAGTACTGTATTTGAGTTGGGTTCCAGCCAATTTGAAGATTTCAGACCAAAAAGTACTCAGAAAAATTCGATCTCTGTCACTAACAATGGTTTTTGGAAAACCATGCAATTTGACAATCTCTTTGGTAAATAAATCAGCTACTTCCTTTGCAGTAAAAGGGTGGGATAGAGCCAAAAAATGAGCTGATTTTGTCAGCCTATCCACTACCACCATTATAGTGTCCTTGCCCTGTGATGTAGGCAGACCTCCTATAAAATCCATACTGATGTCAGTCCAAATATTTTGAGGAATAGGTAGAGGCTGAATCAGTCCAGCTGGTTTTAAGGCTTGATATTTGTTTGTCTGACATGTAGGACATTCCTCCACAAACTTCTTTATGTCCTTCCTCATTCCCTGCCAATAAAACAAATTAGAAACCCTCTTCATTGTCCTGAAATACCCAGAATGCCCTCCTACTGCTGAGCTGTGATATTCATTCAATATCTTTGTCACTCTAGGAGATGCACTAGGTAACACTAGTTTCCCTTTGTAGTAGAGTAACCCTTTCTTGTTCTGGAAGTCTGGGTATTGATCTGGCTTTGAAACCAGATTCTGAAACAATGTCAGACATTTAGGATCCTTCAGTAATTCCTCTTCTAACCCCTCCCATTCCTGACAAGTAACAATTGATAGGGAATGTAAGAATGGTCTTCTGGATAATGCATCTGCAACTCTGTTTTCAACTCCTGGTTTGTACTTGATAATGAAGTTAAACCCCATTAGTTTGGAAGTCCATTTTTGTTGTTCTTCCCCCATCAGTCTTTGCTCAGTCAAGAACCTCAAACTTTTCTGATCTGTGTGGATTTCAAACATTCTTCCCATAAGGTATGGCCTCCATTTTTGGACAGCTAATACTATAGCCATCAGTTCCCTCTCATACACTGATTTATGCTGATTTCTTTGAGATAACTCCTTGCTCATATATGCAATGGGCCTTCCTTCCTGCATCAGTACAGCTCCCAGTCCAGTCCCAGATGCATCAGTTTCTACTATAAACATTTTATCAAAGTCTGGTGTTGCCAGCACTGGCAGGGTGGTCATAGTCCTCTTTAGCTCCTCAAAAGCCTTGGTAGCTTCTGGTCCCCACTGAAAACTATCTTTCTTCAACAATTGTGTTAGAGGTAGTGCAATCTTGCTATATCCCTGCACAAACCTTCTGTAATAACCTGTCAGTCCCAGAAATCCCCTCAACCCCTTCAAGTCCTTGGGTTCAGGCCACCTTGTCATTGCTTCAATCTTTGTGGGGTCTGCAGCTACCCCCCACCAGATATAATGTGACCCAAGTAAATCAATTTAGACTGTCCAAACGAACATTTCTTTGCATTAATCACCAACTGATTATCTTGTAAAGCCCCCAGAACCTTCCTCAAATGCTCTTGATGTTCCTCCACTGATCTGCTGTAAACTAGGATGTCAAAAAAAAACCAATGCAAACTTCCTCAAAAATGGCCTCAACACTTGATTCATAAGGGCTTGAAAAGTTGATGGTGCATTTGTTAAACCAAAGGGCATTACCAAATACTCATAATGCCCTTCATGAGTCCTGAATGCAGTTTTCTGCCTATCCTCCTCCTTCATTCTTATCTGATGGTATCCAGATTTCAGATCCAGCTTAGAGAAAATGGTTGCCCCACCCAATTCATCCAAAAGTTCTTCAATGATGGGTATAGGATACTTGTCAGGTATAGTGATTTTGTTGAGAGCCCTGTAGTCACCACAGAATCTCCACCCCCCATCCTTCTTCTTTGCCAGTAGAATAGGGCTACTATAAGGGCTATTGTTGTGTTGAATTATACCCTCATTCAACATTTCTTTTATAATCCTTTCAATTTCTGTCTTCTGGTACTGTGGGTACCTATAAGGTCTGATATTAGGAATGCAAGCTCCCTCCTGAATGTGAATAGCATGATCACAACTTCTTCTTGGTGGCAAGTTCTTCCTAGGTTGGACCACTTCTGGAAATTCATCCAATACTTGCTTCCAAGTGTCATCTTCTGCCTCCCCTTCCACTGGAACTACAGATATTCCTTCACAAAACACCAAGTATCCATCCCCTGCATCTTGTAATATTTGAGTCATGGTTGTCAGTGATACTTCCAAAGAGTTTAACTGTGGATCCCCTTGTACCAACTGCTCCTGTCCCTGTTCCTTCCATCTGATAGTCTGCTTTTGAAAGTTGACTTCTACATCCCCCAAACTTGCCAACCACTCCATCCCCAGCACTACATCTGTTCCCCCCAGATCCAAGATGTAAAAATGTT